AATTATATGTAAATATTATAACAATAAGTAATAATAGAATTAAATAAATAACTTACGCCCTATATTATTTAATAATTTTAAATAAAGAAATTAGTTAAATTATATAAATATATAAATATAGATATCATATAACTTACACCCTGTAGTATTATTAATTACTAATTAGTTAAATAAATGATAATATAAAATTATTTACTGTAAATTATATATATATTACTTACAATCTAGTTATTTAAATTAAGAATGTAATTAGTTGAATTATGTAAAATATTAAACATGAACTGTTTATAAATAAATAAAAAAAAAAATTTCGGCTTGTTTGATGTACCTTTAATACATTGATCCATTACTATATCAAAATTCTCAAATTCTCCCCAACTGGAAAGATAAAGTAAATATCTTTTTTTCTTTTCTTTTTTTTTATTATTGAGCGCCTTTATTAGTATGAATAAATATGGTATAATACTTATGCAAAATACATTATGTGAAAAGCGATCACAAGTACAAGCATTGCATCATTGCATATATGACAAATAAATAAACTGGAATGTAGATCAATTATTACAAAATCGCAGCTTTTCTATATTAATATGATCGGCAGCTTTTTTTATGCAATTTTTGATTAATCGATTTTAAATCAATTTTGATTAATTTGATTATCGCAGATTTGATTCCAATCCCTACTGGGTACATTTGAAATGAAAATTTTAAATTGATTTATAAGAATTTAGTTGTATATTCATAATATAATATAACCGATTCCCTACAATAAAATAATATAAAAAAACGTTTATTGAAAAATTTTCTGCATTAACCTTATTTACTGTAATCGATAAGCGATCAATTTTATACCTATCAGCCTTAGTATGATAAGTCAATATAAAAAAGGACTAGAATATTAAAAAATATATTATTCATAAGAATAGAAACTGAGATTTATTCGATTATAGATGAAAATCTTTTATTAAATTGTTCTTGTAAATCATAATACATAGATATATAATTAGTATTTCTAAATTTTATACCGCAAAAGAACAAAAATTGTAGTCTTTATTTAAAATGAGTAGTAATTCCATCAGTAATACAATTGAATTATCTATATATTTATATCTTTAATTACTCCTTCAATCTTATATTTATCGACCAGTTTCATATATGAATCAGTTTGATAAATATAATACTCAACTATATGAATGGAAATTGCTTGTCGTCCTTTCCATTTTTCAAAGAATGCTTCCAAAGTTTCTAAAGAAAACCTAATGCCACGAGGAATTCCTATTTTACTTAGATTTGTTGGAGCTTCTTTAATTAACACATTTGATAAGTAATCCCCATATTCTAAATCTTTTCCTTTTTCATGTTCTTTTTCAAAATATAAAGATCGTAAATTCTGACATTTTTTAAGTAATATTTCAAATTCAATAAAGTAATTTTCCAATAATGGAAACATAGGGATTGTTAAATATTCAATTAAAAAACAATTTTCATAAATTGTACGAATAAAATTGAGAGAATCATAATTAAAAGAATCTTTTTCTACGCAAAAATGATTGATCCTTAATTCTCTAAGAAATAAGCTATTTTTAATTATGTAATTAACTTGGTAAATATATATAAAATCTATTTCTATAAACTCAAGGTTACGATAAGCCACCATTTCCAATTTTTTATTAAAATCATCATTTGAAAATGGAGGAGAACTAATCTTTAATACTTTTATATTATGAAGTTCTAGGAGTACGTCTTGTAGAAATGTATAATCACCATCATCATGGTAATTATCTAATGAATTATCAAACTGGAAATGATTAAGAGTATTTACATGCTTCTTCAATGCATTAAAAATTTCTGTATAAGGATCTTCCAACATGTCCCAATAATACATGTCATTTTCTACTTCAAATTCATCTACCCATTCAAAATATTTCAAATTTTTTTGAAATTCGATTAATTTAGTAGTTCCAGGATTAACTTTAAAGTTTTTATTAATAATGATGATTCTTTGTATTTTTTGACAGATATGTGCTAATCTGTAAAAATACTTAGGATTAATCAATGTGTGACACGTTAATTCACAAAGTGATTCAAGGCGGAACTTTGCTTCTGGAAGATGTAGTATATCATAGGTGCCACATATATTTAAACACTTTATTTCTGGACATTTCTTCATCAAGAAACTATAAATTTCATCTTGTAAAAAAAATCGTTGTAATGATCCAATGGAAATTATAACATCTATAATTTCTATATTAATACTCCTACAGAAAGACAAATAATCAAATGCAAGTGATTGACCTGGAATGTTGATTTTTTTCTTTGTGAATAATTCTTTAATATCATTGGACAAGTAAGAAGTAAGAATAAAATATAAAGAATTTTTATTATAATAATCAATAGAATAGCGCCAGGGGTTCCTCCATAAAATTGGAATCACGGTTTCACACCAAACTCTATTAACCATTAAGCATGAAAAGAGGAATTTTGGATTATCTTGTAATTCCTCAAATATCAAAAAAAGAATATCTCTATTAAGTTTAGACATTTTTCTTTGAAAGAAAAAAAAAAAATAGGGGGAAAATAAACAAATAGAATACATATTTATATATTTCGGTGTACGACCATTATGTTGATCGACAATGTTTCACCGATGTAAAAAACCGCGTTAAAAATTGGTAGTTTAGGTAATGTAGATCAAACAAAAATTTTAAAATAATTCGGTCGATACTTGATATCTATTTTCTTCATTAAATGTTAAAAGGTTCAAAAGAAGTATAAAAGCAAATAAGATCCGTAGAGACTATTTTTATTTTCGAAATCAAATCTAAAATTTGTAGT